ATCTATCTATCTATCTATCTATCTATCTATCTATCTATCATCTTCTATCATCCATTTATCTATCTTTCTATAATCTATCTGTATATTTTTTTGTTATTTATATCATCATGATTGCAAATATGTTCAGATTTTTGACCTTGCTTCATTATAGTTATGGCAATCTTGGGAAAATGATCTCAATTTCCCTACATCCAATTTCCTTATCCATAACCTGAAAAAAACCCTATCCATTTTATAGTCCCATTTTAAGTATTAAATATGCTAATAATTGTAAAAAGCATAGAGTGGTCGCTGGCACACTGAAGATCTAAGTAATGGTAACTGTTATTATTGTGGCTAAAATCATCATCAGTTTTAGACGGAAAAGTATTGACTTCCTGTGCTGGAAGACAATGAATTTCCCTAACATAAACTTTACTGTGTTACTATTTTTAGTTTGTCTTTGGGCTGCCTTTATGTCTTTAAATAATATATTTGCATCTCTATTTCTTTGTTTCAATAATTGAGTGAGTATATTTGCAGTCTCACTGATTAGAGCTTCCTCTATCATTTTCTTCACTTTTCCCCCCCAAAGAGTATTCGTTACTCTAGTTATGTCTTGTATAATTTGTTATGGCTTTATTCTGAAAATAATAAGTGGTGCTTATCTATTATGATTGCACGCATGACGCTTTTGGCAAGACTAAACAGTTCTGTTGTTGTTGTTAGGTGCCATTGAATCCTGTGCAACCCTCGTGACCCTATGAGGAACACATCTGAACCCTGTTCTATTTTGTGCCATCCTCACACTTCCTGACACATTAGAGCCCGTTGTGGCAATCACTGCGGCGATCCAATCCACCTGGTCTTCTTCTCCTTTGCCGCCCCTCTTCCTTCTTAAGCATCATGTCCTCTCCAAGGAATAGTCCCTCCTCGCAACATGCCCAAAGTATGTGAGCAGAAGCTTTTTCATTTTTGCCCCCAGGAACACTCTGACTACACATTCTCCAAGAAATATTTGTTCTTTTGCAGTTTGTGAGATGTTCCGTGATCTTTTCCAACACCTAAAAGGTATCAATTCTTCTTCTGGCATTTTTATTTATTTACAGCTCTCAGATACATAGCAAGTGGTTGTTAAGACCATGGCCTGAACCAGATACACCCTAGTCCTCAAACTGACATCATTACTCCTTAACAATTTTGAGAGGTCCTTGATGGAAGACTTTTCCAGTGCAGTATGTCTCCTGATTTCCTGACTGCTAATATCAAGTGTGTTGATTGTGGATCCAAGTAAAATTAAGTTGTTGACAGTTTCATTCTGATATTCCCTACTGGTCCATGTAGAATTTTTGTTTTCTTGATGTTGAAATATTATCCATATTGCAGGCTGCAGTGTCTTGTTCTTTTTCAGTAAGTGCTTCAAGTCCTCCTCACTTTCGGCAAGCAAGGTTGTATCATGTGTAACATAAGTTGTTGATGAATCTTCCTCTGATTCTGATGCCATGTTCTTTTTCGTAGACTCCAGCTTCTCAAATAATCGGCTCAGCATCTAGATTAAGTAAGTGTAGAGAAAGGACACAACCCTGGTGTATATCCTTCTTAATTTAAAAACGTGGTGTTTCCTTTCTCTGTTCGCACATCAACCTCTTTGTGTAGATAGAGGTTTTGTATGAGCACAGTTAAGCGTTGTGGAATTCCCATTCTCAATGTTAGCCATAATTTGTTATAAGCCACACAGTCAAATAAATGCTTTAGACATTCTTCTGGTATTCTTTGCTTTGAGCCAGAATCCATCTGACATCAGCAATGATATTCCTGGGGCCATAGACTCTTCTAAATCAAACTTGAACTTCAGGCAGTTCTCTATGTACTGTTTTAGTCATTTTTGAATGATCTACAGTAATATTTTGCTTATGTATTATGATGTTAATAATTTTGTTTGATAATTTTCACATTGTGTTGAATCACCTTGTTTGGGAATGGAAACAAATAAGAATCTCTTGCAGTCAGTCAGCCATGCAGCTGTCCTCCAAATTTCCTGGTGAAGTCTGATAAGTATGTCCCTCTGTTAGTGAGGGCTGCATCTGTGTGTTGAAACATAGTAATTGTATATGCATGGATGCATTTTTACCTCCATGTGGGTCGGCAGCCACACCTAAATCTTCTGAACTCATTACCAATCACTGAACCTCCTGGATTGTGTTCTTGTATTCTTCAAGTTCGACTTTCCAACCCTTTCAGGTTAAACGCCCTGCCATTGAGTTGTCTCTAATTCTTTATGAGAGAAGACTGCCTTGCTTAGCCCTTGGAAGCAGCAGGTGGATTAGAACTGCTGACCTTTTTGTTAGCAAGCTGATACATTACCCATTAGGGCTTATTCTCAGGTTAAAATTTGCTACTTCAGAGTTCTTGTGTTTATAACAAAATTTAAGACTATCCACCTTATGGTATCCAGAATCTCTGGTGAATCTACGTAAGTCAGATTATTCAGAATCTCCATCACTTTAAATAACACAACTCAGAATTTTCTTTGGTGTCATAACTTGAGGATTACCATTTTGGACAAGATACACAGCAATAAAAAAAAAACCCCTACTCTTCATAATGTCACTTTATACTTTAAATATTGTTAATTTCCTCCATTTCCCTGTGAAGTGGACATGGTTTAATCTGTTGTTATTCTGGATATGACTGGCACCTAGAGAGGTTAAAAATCAGGAGATGAAAGTATTAATTGTTTGAAGACCTGAGTGCAGAAGGCAGTTTCTCTGGTTTTCACAAACAACGATTTTCCTTCTCTCCTACCTGCGTTTAAGTCCTCTGGGGCCTTTCATCAAGAGAGTCTGAATTTGTGATGAAGTCCCTAACCAGCCTAGTCATCTGTGGAATTATCAGGATAGCTTTATTCACTGTGTGGGTGGAGGCATGAGCAGTACACACTTTCCTCCAAGCTTCATAAAAGCTGCTCTTGGACCAGGGGTCTCCTTTCTTTCTAATCAATGCTCATACAAAACATGACCTCCTGGGGTGGTTACTCACCCTTCTCTCCACCACCCCACTCACTCCAGCAGCAGGGTCTGGGTTCTTTGAAAGGCTCTGTTGATGTGGTCAAAGTCTGTGGCTCATGTCCAGCACAGACTCTAAACTAGCTAGGTAATTATCAAAAGTTTGTTGGTCCTCTTTTGACTTTAGTTTCTCTTCTGAAAAATAATGGGACTGGATGATATGCTTATTAGTATATGCCTTTTGCATCTCTGATTTTCTATGCTTAGGAATATGGACTAAATGAAGCCCTTGAACATCACCCTAAAACTGCATTATTTGAACCATGCATACATTGCAGTTACTAGTTATTTTATATCTAACATAATACAAGTGTGATTTCAATTGATTGACAGCTACTTAAACATAATCTTATGGATTATTTTTCAGGTTTAGAGTTGAGTTAAACATAGTCCCCAGTTTCTGAAAAGCTGGTACTGTAGTTCAGAGCAGTGTCTTTTATTTGTTTTTAGTTTTCCTCCATCTCCCATTGTTTCTAGTCTTTCTTTTGTTTCTCACTTATGTCTTCTCTTGTGTTTCCCTTGCTGTTTCTCTGTGTCCTTAAAGATAGTAAACAAAAAGTCATGTTGCTAATAAAAAGGTTAGTATCTCAAATCTATATGAAAAAAAAGGGCAAGTCTCCTGTAGAGACTTATCGCCTTGGAAACCTCATTGAGTATCAGCATAAAACAAACTCCACCAGCTCTACAGTTGTTGTGTACCGTTGAGTTGGAACCAAACCATTGCTGACCCTCTGGCGGGTATTCAGAGGCAGTTAATCGCACAGTACAGCTTCTTGCCACTAGGCCGCCAGAGCTCCCTAGCTCTACAGTAGTTTTTTAAAATACTTTGTAAGCGTGCCAGTTAGGAGAGTCGAGTATGCTTGATCCAACTCCCTACCCAACTGACTGGAAGAGATCCATATTTCTTCCCATTCCAAAAAAAAAATGACCTGATTGAGCGTGGAAATTATCAAACACTAAAATCCTGATGAAGATTATCCAAAAGTGACTGGAACAGTACATTAATAGAG